ACACACACACACACACACACACACACACACACACACACCAAACCAAAGGTGGGGCTGAGGGGAAGTCGACAGCTCACGTCTGATTACTGTGTCGATGCACGGACTGAACCAATTTCAAGTCAGGACAGGCTACTCTCTGCACACTCCACGTTGCATGGATCACAATACTAAGTGTCTTGTTATTTACAGCCATTGTGATTCTAACCGCCACAGTACTTCTTCCACCATCATGTTTGATCCTGCTTCTGAAGCACTTTAATCAAGTGTCATAACTTCTTAACTACTAACCTCGGCAATAAGTTATAGAGATGAAGACGTTAGGAACCAACGGAAAGCATCCGAGAAGCATTTAGCACCATGACATAACTTGATGAATTTTTCCGGTTTTCTCCGTACATTTCTTTATACACACTCCTCTGTGCAATGTGTGCGCTGTGAGATAAGGAGCTCTGAAGTCTCTTAGACCGAGATGTCCATACAGTATGAAAGAGTGTCAAGTCGTCACAGTGACGTGACCCCAGAGCCTCATTAACAAACCACAGATGGAGGGATGAGAGCCCGACGGAGATATCCTTCTCCCACTCTCTCATTCCTCTGTACACTCGCTGCAAATTTAAACGGTGATCAGTTCAGACGGCCGCAGAGAGACGGCTGCATACCTTCTTCTACGAGCCGGTCGAGGTGTTATGTGCGCCAACATGTGGAACAACAGCGCGTTCTTTGAGTGTCAAATGCTTAGAATAAAGACCTACAGAAGGACAGTCACGTAAATAAAATAGTAGACATTAAAAATGACAAACAGGACTATGAGTGTAGACCAAGAGAGTCTTGAATGTGCTTTGGATTGCATTTTGTGCTTCTTTTCAGTAATCTGGTGTCGTCCGTTTGTAGTAATTTAACTAACGTCTCTAGATGAATGATGCTTGTGATATTTAACGACAAAGCGCTACATTTAGAGAGACCTTTACTTCATTTTAAATAGATGTCGATATGGAACATTTCCCAGAATGCAACGGATCATTTAACATCAGTAGTGTCTTGCTGTGACTAAATAAACGTTATGTGGGGTGATGTTGTCCACTGCGATGCTCCGTTAACCAGAGAAACTGGGAAATCACAGTGCAGCGGGAAACAGAGCGGTCTCAATGGATATCGAGTTAGAAATCAATGAAATGTTGGCAATCCATTTACTATCTGGGGGCCTTAGCATGAGATAATGACTTGATGATACATGTACAGAAACAACACGCATATATAAATATATACGTGTACTGCACAAGCTAGAGGACGGGAGAATATCTCTACAGCATCTGAACCACGTGTGTGTGTTTGTATATGACCTGCTTTACACAACCACATGCAACAAAAAAAATTGTAATCCATCCTCTCCTCTTGTAATCTGAGATTTTAATCTGCCGCTTTCCAGAGCAACGATTACCCAGCAGCCCTTGCGCCCATTCTAAAAATGCCCGGGGGGGGAAATAAAAGAAGGAAAGCGATGAGAGTGAGGATGAAGGATACGGAAAATGTTTTTAACATACATACTAACATGTTATATCCCCAACAAAACACACACACACACACACACACACACACACACGCCAACTGTAACAGAGGAAAGAGTTCGTCTACATTCAACCCCTCTATTCATAACACAGCGCTGCTCCGACTTCTCCGGCGTTCCTACTACAAGTTATCGTGATAGTAACTCTGAAATGTGTCCACATATTTTGAATAACGCTGCATCCTTCTGTCAACACACTTTGCAAACATCGGGAGTTACATAACGAAGACTGGCAGGTGTGTGTGTGTGTGTGTGTGTGTGTGTGTGTGTGTGTGTGTGTAGGGCAGCAACTATTTCTTACGTATTTTGGATTCTGACTGAAACAATTAGTCGATTAATTGACCTTCCATCAGCCAGACAAAGGTGAGGACGTGTTTGTTTTCTTTGTCCGAAGACATTTGAAGACATCGCTTTTAGTTTCGGGATGTGATGGACAGTTCTCACTCTGTTCTGCCATTTTTAAAAGACACAACGATTGACCCATTAATCCATAAACCAAATCAATGCAGCCCGCATTCACACACAGCACATTTATTTGGAGTATATGTGTTATTAAGGCTGCAACAAACTATTGTCTTTGATAAACCGATACATTGATTAGTATGACAAACGCAGGTAAACACTGAAGATTGCCTTTTACGAGCTAAATCGACGCCTTTAAAATGCCTGTTTTGTCCGACCAGCAGTTAAAACCCATAGATATTAAATTTCCAACGATATAAAACAGCAAATCCTCAGAGATTTAGAAGCTGCAAGCAGTAAATATTTGGCTTTTGGGCTTCAACGACGTACCAGCCATGAGAGTTGTCTAAGTGATTAAATGTTGCACGGTTTCTGGGTAGAAACGTGAGCTGCGGAGCCATATATTCCCACATATGAATTAATTCCTGCATCTGTACGTTTTAATATTCATGACTTAGCTTTGCATTATCGCAGGTTGTGATGATTGTGCAGCGGCAGTTCTGTTGAGTGGTTTAAAGAATATAATGCAAAAAGGGGTTAAACCAAATCTAGGCAGCTAGCTTAATACATCTGCTCACAGAGTGTAATAATAGGCGATGAATCAGCGTTATATGATATGACTAGGGGCTAAACAGCCGAGTGTGTGTGTGTGTGTGTGTTAGCCCAACACAGGATCCCTTTGATAGGCAGAGTATTTGTGTGTTGGTTAATCCACACCGTGTTACTCACACACATCACTGCTGGTGTGTGTTGATTCACCGTCAGCTTAGCCCACTCCATCGCTAATCCAAACGCATTGAGAGGAAGAGATGAACCCGTGCAACTACGTCTCAATAATTCACATTTCACAGATCCACCTCTGTCCTCCTCCAGCGCTCACGTCCCCTCCCTCGCTCGGTAATAAGTCGAAGCTTCATTTACTCCGCGATACGACACAGATTCCATCGGTTGCTCTGACAACAGACGCCATTGAGTAGAGGCGGACTCGCACTCCGGCGCGAATGACCAATGAAGGGAGCTGAAGAGCATCAGTCAACGACATCCACTCCTCCCGTTCTGCTCGCTCGCAATGGTCAAACAAAGGCCACGGCTCAGCTCGTCACTGTGATTTGTGGTGCTGATGGAGGGAGTGTGTGTGTGTGTGTGTGTGTGTGTGTGCTGCCCATAAATCAAAATATACTGCAAGAACTGGTTTCCTGCATCCCACAGAAACACAGCACAAAATTAAACAAGCTTGGACCTGTTGAGTGCAATTAACAGCCAACGGCTAGGGACATATTATATCGTCTTTGCATGCTCTATTTCTATCCATACATCTATGATAATTTAAAGAATATTTCATTTTACTTCTCAAATCTTAAGTCTTAAAATGACCCCGAACAAAAGCCGGTTCTACTGAGCTAACGAGAGAAATAATATAGAAGCTAGAGAATATTTTGATCAATTAATCTATGACTTGTTTGCTCATTTAAAGACAGAAAACGGTGTAAAATGTCAATCTTAAATTTATCAAAAATGTTCAGTTTAAAAGCGAAAAACAAATCTCACCGTTGAGAAGCTACAACGAGGAAAATGCGCAGACACTTCAGCGAGCGTCGATGATTAAATAAAGAGAACAAAGTGCTCATTAAATATACGAGACTTCAGAGGACGGCTGTTAGCACCCCGAAACACTTTCAGGAGACTAAATAGAAAAGGCGACGGGCAGAGTCGGTTCCTTCCTTTGTTTTGTGTTTGTTATGTCAGCCAGCAGTTATGGAGCTGCAACGAACCGACTGATCTGTCGATTCTTTTTCTTTAGATTAATCCCATAATCGTAAAAGACAATCACAATATCTCCTTTAAATGTGTTCTTTGGTCCAAACAGTCCCAAAACTCCTCCTTATTGACATGAATCTAAAGAAGAAGAAGAAGAAGAAGAATCTGCTGCCCAGAGGGGGAAACTATCAGGAGCTCAGAGAAGGAAACACACCCCCCCCCATCCTCCACAAACACACTAAAGTTCAGCCTGCAGAGGAGCAAATCTTCCTCTTTGAAAGTGATCTGATGGTAGCTAGAGAACAGGCTACTTGGTGCATTAATTATACACACAAGAGGACAGTAGGGTTTAACTTTAAGCTGAGCCTACTGATTAACTGTATTTTGACCCGATTATATGATGACACAGGAGCAAACATCTGCGTATTCACAACCTCAAATGTTCCTTTTGAAAACACAGACAGCTCCTACAGAGAGTGTTGCATTATGGGTTGTTTGCAGCCTTAATGCTGCTCGGTTAGCGAGTTTCACAGCTGTGCATTCTTCATGTCCACGGATGAAAATGAACCGTTCAACCAGAGTAAACAGCGCAGGTTAGAAAACGTGTGTAATGAAAGTAAGCTTTCGTACAAGTTTCCGTCCCGATTTGAGGCTTTCAGTTCTACTTCCAACTTCATCGAACAGACTCTCCTCTCCTCTTACAAACACTAGACTTTCCAGCTACTGTCTGGAAAATGTGCTTGGGGAAAATGACTAATGCTATATGCTTCCACAGCAACTACCACTCAGGTGCCCTTGGGCAAGGCTTCTTCATCCTGCACCCAGATCGCCGCTCAGCAGGAAAAATACGTTTGCACCCCGGGGGCGGCTCGGCTGCTTGAAGGATGCTCAGTCGACGCTTCCGTACGTATCCCCTGAGCTTTGTCAGATAAAAGGTGAACAAGAAGCAGCTCTCTGTGTAGTGAGCCCCCCTGCAAGTGGGTCAGAGGACCACCAGTTCTCTGTTATAACACATGTTATTCAACCTTTGGGAGGAATAACACAGTGACACAAGCACTTACTCTTTGATACAACTTGAACACTCCTCGAGGAAAAACAGCAAACTCCCCTGTTGTTTCTGTTTCCATATAAAAAGGACATAATAGAACATATTTCAACACCTGCAGACAGACTGGATCAACTTGCTTTGCCCGTGGGTGCTTATACTGCTGTGCAGTCACGTGATGTCTGGGTCACAAAAAAAGGTCTCCTAGACACAAAATGACTTGTGGCAAGTTCACTGCCTGCAGGCGGTCTGCAAGAAGCTCGGCTCATCTCCACCAAACTCCATTATAACATCTGTTAATGTGATGCACGTGCAGACACACACAGCCGTATATAACATGATATAAGAGCTTCAGACCGCAGTGCATTTTGGTAGCACACGATTGTGTGAACTAAGAATTGGAAAATGCAGATTCATACGTATGCATGTATACATGCATATATAATGACAAGTTGGCGTCTTCACACAATAAAGCAAAACGTGTCTGGATCGTCGGGCATGGAGCGTCAGCTGTTAGAGGATTTTAGGAGGAAACAGAAAGCAGGATAACTCCACTTCTCCTCTAATGACGGTTAGCTTGTAGTACAAAGCGCCATATTAACCATATATTTACCATATTAACGTCTCTGGTGTGAGAGTATCCCTACTCCTGGTGAACTTTTCTCCACAGCAGCACGAGCTCCGGAACATACTCTCGAGGCTCACACTTGATCTCCCGTTTTGTTTTGTTTTGTTTGTCCTCAGGTGTGAAGTTGACCGTCGTCCGTTCGCTTCGTCGGTGCAACAACACGTGTCATCACGGCGTCCTGCTGGCTCACCACCGCTGCCGGTGAGGGGAAGAAAAAAAACCGACCGACGGTGTGGTTCGTTCCACAGCACGGCCGGTAATCCCTCTAAACCGGGCGAGCCAGGGAAGCACAATGTGTGATTAAGCCCCGCCCACCGCGTCAACACAGGGAGGGGCTGCGGAGGATATCGAATACACCCCCCTATGAATCACACACACACAAACATGCAAACACACGTACATGCAAACACACATTTGTAGGTCTGGGGAGAGACTCATGAATGATTTAAGGGCAGAGCAGCTCTACTCTGGCATCACTGATAAAGAAACCAATTAGTATGATTAGCAGGTCATGTGATATGGGTCTATAGTTTACTGTCCGCGCTCACATGAAGTATTCATCCACACGCTATAAGTGGACTCCTCCGTATATTGGAAGACATACCGACAGGTGTTTCATCCCCGTCTCACCCTCTTGTCGTTCTTCATCGTTATCTCCCCTCTCGTGCACGCGTCGACCTGAAGCCCACTTTCTGAGTCAGCCACCTTTTAATCACCGTGACAAGCGTGTGTGCTGACAGGTCGGACACTCTGAGGCCTGCAGGGCAGAGAACAAGCACCCGGCACCGAGGCCGCCTGCAGGGCCAGAGCTCCGTTATTGAAAGTTGAATCCGATCCAGGCTGATTCAATCACATCGGTTCTGTGAGTGCGTGTGTGCGTATTTAGGAAAGATCGTTGCATGGCTCTGGGATGGATCCACGACAAATCTTTCTGTTGTGATCAATCCTAAATAACCTAATACACTTCCAGTCCATTTCCCCTGGGTATTGATTTATTACATCCACGCTTATGCGTGTGTGAAAGAGAGGTAGCAGGCAGGGAGTTAAATGTGACATTTATTTAGATCCAGATTGGTGCTCTCTTTGTACTTTAGCATTGATTTGATCCACAGAGGGTATTGGCTGTGGGCTCACAGAAAACAACTGTTATGTAAATGCCATTAAGAGCAGATCCCTAATGGGTATTTCAGCACTGCACGACTCCTGTGAGGCTGTAAAACCGCTACAAAAGTCCACTTTAAGACTATTCCATTTCCCTGCATTGCAAGGAAATAAAGAATTCTGTCACACACACACACACACACACACGCTGACGTGCATGCAGTTCCAATTCTTCATCTAAATGTCCCCCCCCCCCCATCTGACATTTAATAAGTGCAATATAGAGATCAAAATCCAACTATCTGCCAAAAAGAGAGACAGTGCACAGCATTTCTGATCTAGATTTCATGGTTTGAATATGACATAAAATCCATGTGTCGGTCAAGGACTGATGCTTTTGCGTGTGCACACAAAAAATCCACTCTGATCCACAAGATGCCATTGTTTGTGTTCTTTATGGACTTCCTGCAGCGCTTCCTGTCTCCATCTCAGCAGTGACATCAGCCTGACTTCCGTAACACACACACACTGTCACTGGTCAGGAGAGTGTACGTGGGGCTCTGGGTTGTCTTGGGAGAAGAGGAGGCTCTGGAATGTTTGACGGTGTTGGGAACATTCTGAAGGGATTCTGAGACGTTGGGATGTTTAGGTGAATGGAATTGGAATGTTCCAGTGGGATTTGGGAACGTTGTTGGGGGACATTCTGTCAGGGTTCTGGAATGTTTAAGTTAGGGGTGGTGCAGGATGTTCTGGTGGGTTTCTACAAGGCTTAGGTTACCGGGGTCAGAACTTTCTGGTGGGAAGGGGGCCTCAGATAATTCTGTTGGGGTTCTTGGGGCAGCTTTAAAATGATGCTGCATGACTCATGTCTTATTATTACTTCTCTACCAGTATAACTGACTTCAGTGCAACTGCAGCACCAGCGAAATAGAAACACGTGTATGATGAAATGTAACGCAACAACCTGGAATTACATAAGATGTTCTCTTTTTTGTTGAGTCTTCTTCCTTAGTTGCTCTATGGTACATTTCATACATATATACTTGTTCTCTTGTTGTGTTGGACTGCACACATTAATGTTTCCAACATTTAGTCCACCCAATTTACATATTTGGAGGATGTATGCCAGTAAAACTGACGTGAATCCCGCAGTTCCTATTTCTCACTGACAGTAAACCTGACGTCATTTAATATGTGTGAGAAAAGAAAGTGAGAGCTAATTGACAAACAGCTGTCTTAATCCGGCCCGGTTATTGCTGCGTCTCTGAGTCAGACAGGAAGGGGAACTCTCCAGAGCAGACTGTGTGTTCAGACGTCTGTCGGTAAAAAGAAACGTCTCTTTGCTTCCTCATTTCTTTTGTTCCTTGCAACACACAATCAGTACATCATACTGAACAGATACAGACCAAACCAACTGATGTTATGTGGATGAGATTACACCTCAAGCAGATCATGTTTCATTAATCTTGCATTCATCTTTATCCATTACACAGACAGGGAATTAATGTGTACTACAAGTAAATGATAAGATATCGGAGCACCGTGGGGAAAAAAAGGAAATTACGCGCCGAGAATTACATTAAGATATTTCACATTTCACAGTTACGTCTCCTGCCTAATGTCTGGCTGAGATCACTGTCGCATAGACGCTCTAATGTGTTTTTAATGTTGTCATTTGGGAATGTGTCTACATCCAGATGAGCACAAAAAGCTGCGACCCACTGCTGTGTGCATCTGTATGTAAAACCCGTCTTCCATCCCTAGCGCCATGCAGGGCGAAGGCAGAATCAATTGAACAGCGAGACGCTTGCACATGGCACATGCACATGCACATCCTTTGGGCTCAGTAACAGGAGCAGTGAGGTTGTGCCACTAAATAACATCCCTTCTTTCATTATGGCTGTGAGTAACCTGTCCACAAATATCTCTCTTTTTATTAAAGCTGTCAGCCTTTCATTATGTCAATGCTTTAGTGCCAGCAATTACATTTTCTATCACAACGCGTCTCCTTCCCTGCCTGTCTCTCTCACCTCATGGCTACATCTCCCACAGTTCTTTCACTTATTGATTGGACCTTTATAGCGTTATAACTCTGCAGCCTTGCTTCAATCAAACAGAGCACATCATCTATGTCACCCTGACTTAAATATCATGTAATCCCTCTGGATCTATCTCTGCCAAAGAAGATGGATTTGTCAGCAAGGCTAGTTTCTACGACCCTAAATGTTCATTTCACCGTGTGCTATTGATGCTGATAAGGCCCATTAGGCTCACTAGTGGACGAGTAATGATCCTCACTCGCACACAAATATGTTGCAACAGAAAGGGTGTCGAGAGCAGGAGGGTTTTCTGCTGCGGTGGCTGCCCGTTTGGTAGAGATGACAGTGATTGATCAGCCTGAGCATCCTCATATATCACCGGGCAGAATTAATCAGCAGAGCGGACTCAGTCTGACACACTCAGGATCCGCCATGATAACAAGTCTGTATGAAATGTAGACATGAGTCCTTCCCAAGAGGTCACGTCTACTTAGTTTCAAACTACTGATTCACTGATTCAAGGAAACAAGCTGTGAACACGACAAGTTGTTAGCAAACAGTTGCTTACTTATTCATCTAGCAGATACGGAGCAACATTAGCATTCATTTGGAGTCATGTTTCTGCCCACCGGATGAATGTAAGCACCCTTTTTTTGCTCTGTTTTTGGTCTCCACCCACTTCTCTTTACCGACTACATGCCTCAAATTCTTCCAGTAGTTGCTAACTTGTGGGCTTACCTGCATAAGTGTGACTTTATTTGTATACGGAGAAGTAACAGTCAGCAGTATTCATGTAATTTAGAAGGAGAGAGAAATATTTGATCTGATTTAGCTAGTGTAATTGGCATAACGTTTTGTAATTGGAGGTATAGTGTCACGTGTCGAACACATTACTGTATTAACTTAATTTACTCCTGACTATAAGCTTTCTCATTCATCTCAGGTGGCTCGGTAGTTACACCTGAGTAAATAATTAGTGGAAGTAGTTTGTATGGTACAAATGCGAATTACTTTAATGATACGTAAATCTCCACTAAACGTGAAGTACTTTTCTGATAACTAGGCTGAGTTTGAATCGATAAAGAGCAACCGGCTCCAGAGTTTTCCACTAGCTCTCCTCTCTTTGTAACCTCTGCATTAAAAGCAACTCTCTCTTTCCAACAAATGAACAGACGAAGCGTCGCTCCTCCTCCTCACAGTCTTTTCAGCCTCTATAAAAGCATTTCTTCAGGGAGGGCTAAGGTTCCCTGCTTTCCAGCCATATCTTTTGTCCCAGCATAGCAGGGGAACTAAATCAATGGGGCACTTGAATGGGAATGCAGGGAATGAAAAGGGGCTGGCGGGGTTTTTTAGGAGACTCTGATGGTAAATTTAAGCTGCCTGGAATAGAGGCTCTGCAGCAGATGGATGCTGTACCGTCGAGGTTAATCACACGGACACTATTTTTACAAACCCTGATGCAGTTTTATTGCATACAATAGTTGTGGACAGTAAATGGCACTTATGATACTATTAAAGACAGAAATACAGAGAGGCATATATCTGGACATGAAACAGGTGGTCTTCTGAATAGGCAGAAGTGAGACGGGGGGTTTTGGAGGCCCAAACTACAACAAAACTGTACTCTATCTGCAAAATAAAGAGCATTTTACTGGCTGATTATAATTTTTTTAACCGCAATAAACTTTAATTTGTCTACTTTTAGGCCAACATTAATAAAAATATGAACAAAAGGCTACAGCTACATGTTAAATTGGTGCCAATACCACTCCATACTTCGGGGAATATAAAAAGGTTTTGGCCCATTCCTTCATGTACAGGTCTAGTGTGTCCGATTTGGCGACATCTAGTGGCGAGATAGCAGATTGCAACCAACTGAAACTTCCATCTAAACCTACAAGACGGGAAATAAAATGCACAGCGAATACAATTGAACAGTTAACTGAATAATTCAAATGGGAAAAATCCAATTAGGGCCAGGATTATAGAAATAAAAACAGCTGGGCCCGGCCCTCCATATTTGAAGAATTATTTGGGGCTCCTGACCTCACTGTTTCTAAAATCCTGGACCTAATTTGATCCCCACCTTTGGTCTCAAACAACCAGCTTCTCATGGGTTTTTCGTTCTACACAGTGATGGAATTCATGCTGACACTCATTACTTTCACACAGTTTGTGGCCCGGCCTTTTTTTAACGTTTTTTTTGCTGCTTTCACCCACAAGCGGCTTCTGGCTGTTTCCTTGTCACTTTGTTCTTGATGCATGAGCAGCCTTGGATTGCATTTGCTCCCAGACACCTCTCACCAGTGTCTCCCTACTGTCTGTATAACATTGTAGTTAAAGCACAAAGGCATTGTTTATACCTGCAACCAGAGCAGCAAAGCTGAAGTTTAGAGTAAGCACACTCTAATATATGCCATTTTGCAGCTAATACTTTTACTCAAGGTAACTTACTTGTACATGGTAATCATGGATTGTTGCCTGTAGCATGTTTTAACTAAACTTTGATGTATTCCAGTAACATAAACACTGTAACGTGAGCTGATCTGACCACCAGAATGTGTGAATACTTTCATAAAGGACAGTGCAACCTATCTGATGGGCGCCAGACGCCGTTTGAAATAAATATCTAAAGGGTCACACTTTCAAAGTGTGCGGGGCCACGCTTTCATGTGTCATCCCTGCTACACGCCCACATCGCTGCCCACACTACACCACCAGCTCATGACATTTAATGTCCCGTTGTCTTCCTCCGAGTGGTTCGAGACCTTGTTGGAGGATGAATGTATTTTTATAGAGTAAATGACAGCTGCTGTGACATGTAGGCGGAGAGAGAGAGAGAGTTAAAGTAGCTGTAAGATACGGAGGTGTGACATTAAAGCAAGTGGTCAGAGAGATAAAAGGATATGACAACATGTGTCATCAAATAACTCAGCAGATTAAACATCAACGTTCATATACTGTCGGATGGCTGATGGCGAAATCTCTCTTCTAATGCTGAAACAATAAGTCGATTATTAGTTGACCGACAGAATAATCGGTTGAGGAGTGGACCGATACCACTCTCATAACTGTCTGTTAAACATGAAGCTATAGCCATTAGCTTAGCTTAGCATAATGATAGCAGATTTATTGTAATGTTGTGGAATTAGAGCTAATAAACTTGCAACCGGAGTGACCTTAAAGCCAAGAAGAGAGCATGAAAGTTAGAACAGAGCGAGAATATCACATTTCTTATTTCTGCTGCTGACTTCACAGAGAAAACAGATGGCGATAGAGAAAAAACGAAACCTTTATTTACAGTACAGGGCCTGTTTTTCTCTTCAGAGCAGGTAGCTAGAGGCTTCTGACATAGACAAGGTTATATGTTAATGAGGCTGAGCACACACGCGCACATACACACACACACGTACAAACACACACTGCTCTGTTTGACTTTTATTTAACCAAACAAGTCAACTATGAATAAATCTTATCTGGTATAATGTTTTTCACATACAAGGAAAGAGATTACTTTTCTGGACTTCTCTTCCAGACTCTAATGACAGCAAACACACTCACACACACACACGCACACACACTGTATCGTAAGCTGAATCTCGACAGATAGAACATCACATTCGGTCACTTTTACCTGAATCTTCAGCTCCCTTTGTCTTTACAAAGAGCTGTATAGTGAGTTTCAGCTCATTGCTGTCCGGTCTTTAACTTTATTGGTTTGGTTCCCTCTCACAGCTCTCATACAGTCATTTTCGGTCAAATCTGGCAGCAGTTTTCCCTGAAAAAGCTCTAAAAACCATGACCGTCTCTACAAAATGTAAAGGCAACCCATCCAACAGTTGTGGAGATATTTCAGTCTGAACCAAAGCATCACCATCCTGGGAGCCACTCTGCCAGCATGGCTGACAATAATCAAAACACTAATTAATGAAAGTAATTGTTTGGAGCCTTATACTCTTAACAGATCATTACTGTGATGGAAAAACAGACAGCGAAGGGAAGCACACACTATCTTCACATTAACCCTCACTGACAATCTATTTAGGTAAGTAATTCAATTTGGGAACTTCCACTGAACTATTTGCAGCCACTTGTGATTCAACACAACAAGTGATTTCTGGTGAAACCGGCCTTCTCTGGAATTTTTGCACTGTATGTGATTAAAGCTTCTTTCAAATTATTAAGGTAATATTTGTTTGTTTGTTGTTTTGATTAGACAAGTATGATGAATATAGGTGCAGTAAATATGTTGGCTTCACTTCACTTTAATGGCTCCATAACCAGAGTGGGTGGGATGTGTTTTCAGTCCAGCACAGTGAAATGCATAGTGCACAGGGTCAGCAGACTTATATCACAACCTCTACATGGGCAGAGAAAGGTGAATACAGCACAATGCAGAGATGCAGGAGCTGTTTGTGATAAAATAGTAATTCTACACATGACGGCTGTAATTAATCATAAATAATAAGCTGTTCTTTAGTTTTGTGCCACAGAGTTGTGCTGATTGAGATCTTACTTCATGTAACAGATGTAAAAGGGGAAGGAGAGACGTGGGAAATGCAGGCCTTTTGACAACACTGGGGAAGTATAATTTGCACAACTAATACCACTTTAACCGTTAATGAAACATAAACAAAATCCTAAATTAAAGTGTTGGTTTCAGAGTGGGCTTGAGAGTGTGAGGATAAAGGCACAAGACACTCAGTGAGGTATAGTAGCCAGAGAAATGTGCTGTTGACATGCAGCTTAATGAGCGACAACAGAGGGGGAATAAAAGCTTCGACCGAGGTCTTTGATTGCTGAGTGTCTGAGACACTGCGATGGTTACCATGGTAAACGGATGGAAGTGACCACAGTTAACAGTTGGAGGGCATTTCTGAGGCTCTGTAGATATACTGTGCACGGAGGCTTTGACAACACATCAGTGGTGCAGAAGCTGTGAAAACACTGTGACTTGTTGCAGGACTTCCCTGCAGAAACAAACAAAAAAAGCTGCTTCTTTCTACTATTTCCTTGTTTGTGGACTGGCACAGGCCAGTGTTGGCTTGACAGGAAAAGCCCCATTATACTGGAGGGGTTACATAACATTATTTTGATGGCATTTTGTTGTGCATATACTGGCTGACTGAGGCACATAATGCATGCACACATAGAAACTCACAACGTCAGCACAATAAGGGCAGCCCAAAGAACAGCGAACATCTCGGAATTGGCTCTAAATTTAGCCACAGAGTGCAATAACAAGAGAGCGGCTGAGATTGAGATAGACAGATAAAGACAGGAGGACCACAAACATGAACTCCTGCAGGAGCACTCGGAGAAACTTCAGGGACAAGCGAGAAAGGCAGAGAAGAAGAAAGCAAGCTCTGCCTGATCGATGGCTTGCTGTACACATTCCTTAGATGTTACTCGAGCAGCAAAGGCCAATCACATGCTTCACACTGACACAAACGCGGTGAAACTTGCCGGACTCAACCTCTAACTGTCAAATAAACAATTGCTCATCTCAAACGTAAAATAACAAATTTATCAACAAGGCTGTAATGAACCAAACCATATAAAATCAATCTTTATAGTTCATAATCATAGTGAGTTATACCAAGAACGCTGAGCCCAAAAAAGATATCAAAATGTACAATCTTGGTAACTAACAGAGGACATTTCAGTGGTAAACAAGTGATAAAGTCTATCTCACACATACTGTACAGCTTCTCATGTGACTCATGCAGAGTTTATGAGGGCAATAATACGCTGCTGATTACATGTGACTCTGCAACTGACTTCATTTGAGCTGCATAAAGAGAAGTGATTCCCTTATCCACCACATCGAACAGACAGAAAAACTCAAAAACGCTACCTCTGACACATAGATGAGCGGGATAGCGCTGTAGTTCTTCCTCATGCCTCCTCTTCCTCACGGCCTGAGGTCAAAGCACATGCCACAGCGGCTTCAGAAGACCCACACCAGAGAGCTCTGTCTGCCTCTTTTGAAGTTGTAGGACTACCCAGTGCGAGGGGAGGAGTATGTGTGTGTCTATCTGGCCGTGGGTGTGCAACCCTCTTATTGTGAAAGCTTTTGCTTCCTGTGTTAGCAGGCTCAAAACCTCAAAACCTTGCTCAGCACAACGTTGCCTCGTACTGGGATGCGTTCCCAAGCTGTCCTGTTCTGTACTGTTTTTTACACACTTGGGGAAAAGACCACCTTAAAAGGCAGCAGGAGACGGACATTTTTTGATTCCTATCAGCCACCCTCCACTGGTCCGGGCACACTTCGCCAATCAGGAGGGAGCAGACAAGAGGATGGAGAGCTGGGGGGGAGACGCTGAGAGAGAGAGTGAGAGGGAGGGAGGAAGGAAGGAGATTTCAGGGAATGAATGAATGTGGGAAGTTGAGTTAGTGCAGGAATCTCCTGCCAGACTCGCTCCCGGCGGGGTGAACGCTCTCTACAGGCCGGAGACAGCACTTCTAATCTGCAGAGCCAGATAACACTGTGTGTGTGTGTGTGTGTGTGTGTGTGTGTGTTTGTGACCGAGGCTGGACTTTGCACACACTCCCACTCATGCTCAAAGGCATACTTTACAAGTGGGAGAGGGCTCAATGTTGTTTCTTGTCATCCAACCAACCGAAAGCATAATGTTCTTCATCAACAATTCCACTAAAAAGTCCAAAACTAACAAAACTTTCCTCCTGCTTTGATGTGTATAGTCACAGATTGACACACTGAAAAACGATATGATACTATTTCTAAGTAAGTGAGATAATGTTTAGATTTAGATTTGCTTTAAGTATGTCACTTGCCACACAAACATTTGTACTGCAACACCTACATGCACTCCGGCCTTAATTAACATAATTAGTTATACCTGTGCTTTTCATTCTGGGAGATGTGAAAATGTCTGCCATGAAAAGGGATTATTTCCTCGTAAAAATATAACTGTTCTGCAGGTATAGTGCACCATCTACAGACAAAAGAAGGAACGTGCCACACGAATGCACAGGTGAACTCTGGGAATTTCAAGCACAATGTCTATGAGTACAGATGAGAGGTGTGACAGTTGGCAGGAGGGATGATGGAAGAGGAAAGAGGGCCAGACATGGAGCGTGTCTGGACAACAAAACGACCACTTTAGGATCTTTCTGGTACCCAGCTGGCATCACTAGCTTCAGTATACTGCTGCGGCAGCACTTAAAGACAGACAGATTATCTGCTCCATTTTGCAGAAGAAAACAGAAAGGCAACACATGGGCCGTCCACTGAACACACATTTAAATGGTACTCTAGCTTATTGTCATTTGTCAGAGCACTTCTTGCTCATTTTTCTTAATTAATGTCAGTGGATGAGACGCTGCCTCCATTCTCCGAGTCTCCACTGGTTTCTAATTAAAGACTAGAGAGGATTGTTATGCTGACTCCAGAGGATGCCAAAAGCTTTTTTCATTCAGAAATCAAAAGGAGCATTGCCCCCTCCTGGATAATAAACAGTATCACAGACGTGGTGTGTGCTGAATCTTGCATTTAGGGGACTTTCTTCTTCTCTTTCTTCGTCTTCTTCCTCCAAACCATCCCCTTGATAGTAAAGTGATGAAACAGTGAGTCTCCTCATTTAACAGCTCCAGATCTCTGAAACTAGAAAGATGATTCATGTCTCAACTGACGAATGATTTATGCACCGAAACTCAGATTTCACACTTGACACACACTTGGAAAATTATAATAACAAATTATTTCAAGTAAAAAAGAGACTCGCATTATAAGAACACTCATCCACAATAGTCTACAGCCCCGCTAACGGCTCTGTGAGGCTGTACTTGGCTTTGAGATGGCTAAAAGCCAACATTAGCCATATTAGCTAATGATGCTCTTCGCACTCTATTGGCGAGTTAGCATACTAAGAAAAATGTGGTTAATGTGGTCATGTAAAAATGAATTGGGTGGACGGTGCAAACACCTAACCCACACGTATGACAGTAACTTTAATGCTGATGCATGTGGTTTACATATGAAACACTGTTTTCTTTCTCATTTCTTTTGGTACTTTTTGTACTTAAAAAGAATGTGAAACTCACTGAATGCAAAACTTGACTGAATTGAATAGATCATATATTATATACAAAATGCAGTCTTGACTGTCCCTACGGTTAGACCAGAAACATCACAGAACGACAAGGATATTGAACAGATGCCTATTGGACAGATGCAATAGGCGTACTTGCTCACGCTTTTACCAAAAGTACGGTTTGATATTTACACGACGAACCTCTAAGGTTTATTGTAAGAACTGCCACTCCCATCATAAATGTCTGTATAGAGATTTTATTCAGGACATGTTGGATGCAGTTTCAGGATACCATAATTTACAAATATGCCGGCAGAGTTCACTGAGCTCCGGCTGAGGGTGGAACCCACTCGTGGATCTTCTTGCTGGTGGTGGGGAAGGGCACGTACTGCTGTGAGCTGCCACTCACGTTGAACTGGTGGACCTCAGCCAGGAACTTCTTGGGCTCTGGTGGATGTGTTGTGGGGGGGTCGTCTGTCATGCAGTGCAGCCAGCGATGCCTGAAGAGTGAACACAAAGGTATAGCTGTCTTTAAATAATAAACTAATTCCTTCTTTTTATTCATTTTGTGGTGATTTTTGTTGACGGTTACATTTCTGCAGGAGGTGAAAACATGTAAATAATGTTTAATCTACTTGCCAAAATAGTACAGTAGACTACAAACTGCATATTTTTTTTATATGTTTAAGGTAGATAGCAGACGTGCCAAATATTGCCAAAGAAATCATTTAGAGTTTTAGCCCAAATGGTCATTGTTGTACTGATTCTATACCAAACTGCAGGTCGTACCATTCAGCTGGAACCATGCTGGCGTCCACCTGCCACTTGGTGTTCTTTCCGTTCATCTCTGTGGTGTAGATCACCCAGCGGTGACGTCCTGAACACATTTAGGAAACAAACAAGAGTTTATTAATCCAATCTAACAAGTGTTATCTGAACATCCTGTGCTAAATACTCCCGACAACAACATTATGTTTAGTGTAAATGTCCTGCTAGTGACTGGTTGAAATCATGCACATTTGGGGATACTCGACTCACCAAAGAAGTAGTTCTTTTTGTCCTCAAAGTATTTATTTCCATATTTATCCAAACCAACCAGGGCTCCTGTCTTCACATCGTTCACCCTGCCAACGGAATAATGACAGTCAGGTAGACAGTCCCAACACAATACACATATACTAACACATCAACGGTGGTTTAATAAAGACAATAAAAAACATTAAATTAAACTGACCGGAATAATTGAAGGAAAAAACCCCGAACTCCACCATGACCTCCTATTTGTCCCAAAGCCCTTCGGACGATGTTCGCATACTCCGCCATCTTGAGACGGAAGAGTTATCGAGACGGACTGTTGTGCGGAAAAAATAAAAAGTCCGAGTAGCACCAACAAGCTTGTGGACATTAGTTCCACATGTAGATACACAAGTATACTTGTATGATATAATTTATGAAATGTATATACTATAGTAACAAAGTATAAGTACTATTTAAAAATGAACATACCGTTTATCTTTTCCATCTCTACATCCTTGTATATGTTTTTAATGTTCAACACTATGATAGTATACTGTTTATTTCTATTTCTTATCTCATGTTTATACCATTTTTATTTTATCTACACATTCAAGGACGATGCATTTAAATTAACACTGCTTTTCATCCTTTGAAGTAAAGAAACAGGAAATGAACACGAGATATATATATATATTTTATATTTATTTAATTAAAAACTGTTGCCTGACAGTTTAGAATCATTGTTTATAGAAGACTCTCTGATAGAGTAGATGTTTACACATGGTCACTGTTAATGTACAATCATGAAGAAATGCATGCTGGGTATAGCTCCCGACTAGCAGATTTATACCTCACCAACACACATCTGAACGAGAGGCACACATGAAATCGTATGACAGCAGCCGAAGAGCTCTACTGACAGAATTAACCGTTGTATTCCTTCACTATAAAAAGCAGGATTTGGGTTTCTCCCACTATAAAAGTTGCCATAACTGGGAAGTGCAACATACAGCAACCTAACCAAGAGGAAACAGACCTGATAAATGACTGTTTTTAAAAACTACAAACCTCCAGTACCCTGGCTAGAAAGTGAGTAGTCATGCAAACTGGATGCTTAAATTGTCCTTATTTAGTGAAGAATGTCAGACAGCACCTATATTATTGCAATTCATCTCAAAACAGGAGATATAAGGCACAACGTCTGCATAAACAAGCATCAAAATCCAAAATGTTTTCTTTCTTTTGAGCATTTCCTTAGAAATATAGTTTGTGCATACTTTCCACATTATTAAAAAAAATCCCCTTCATCTATAAGAAGTTTTCTTTTAAATTTAAAATAATAACTGATGGAAACATATTTCCTAACAAACCCTGACTCCCAAAATAAGCGGCAGCCTGTGCTTTTAAAACAATAAATCTTCCTATTTTATAAATATTAGCTCTTGGCTTTGATATAAAAAAAAGGTCAATGTTACTCTTTCATGTCCTTATACGCAGTTTTACCCATTAACCATTTCTAATGTGGCTTAACAGGCAAAACACATTTAAAAAACTGATTGTAAAATATCTACATTATTCATGACATTTCCAGTTTTCTCCAGGACATTATTTCTTCAACCCATCATTTAAATGTTTTGTATGTTAAATTGAAAAACGCAGGAGTAAAATCTCTTAACCAGAGAGATCAACTAAAAGAGCAGAACATCAACTTCCTGTTTCTCTGTAGAAGCCGGATTTTCACAGTAAAATCCCACCTAGTTACACGGTTAAACTCTTGAACAGACATCGGCGATACTTTGCATTTATAATTCAGGTGAGAAAATCTTACTAGTTTGAATATTTAACAATGTGTGTGTATTTTGTGACACAGAAATGACACAGTAGGTTTTAAACTAGCAAATATCAACCTGATCAAAAGAAGACGGCCAGTTTTGTATATTTTGTTTCACACAAAAAGTAATTCCTTCATCCGTTTGCAGTTAAAAGTAATTCCAAGACTTCCTCGGATATCCGAGAACTTTAAATATTCCCGACAACTGTTCTGTCTCACTTCCACAGACACGCTTCTGGACTTGACATGTGACCCACGGCTGCGACAAACGCTTAACTCTGACGTCTGCTGAGCATCAGTAGGTGTTGTTGGTACTGATGATATGTTTTAGAGTTCTTTGAGGGATAAGCAGTGTGTGTTTCTTTTGCAGTGAGTTTCTGTTTGAAGTAAACAGTCCATCCGGAGTCCTTCCTGAGCTGGTGACCGCTGACCTGAGATCGATCAGGGGTCGTGAGTTGTCTATCAACTGGCTCCGGGGCTGCCATGTGACTTCACTGCTGTAAAGCTGATATTACTGTTCAAGAATCATTGCCTCTTGGAAGGCTTCGATCCATCTAAAGACAAAAACACAAAACAGGGAACTTAGCCACCACTGTACAGCATACAGAATACATAGTAATGATCTCTATGTGGTAGTTCTCATTGTCAGTGGTGGAGTCCGCCATTCCCGTTTAGGATATACATTTAAATGCACTGTGGATTGACAGTAAACAGGGCAGCATGTAATTCAGCTTCACTGTTTCTTTCTCTTTACACAATATCAACAGCTAGTTTTCTGCTGTATTTCTGACAAAGTAGCTGCTCAATGAATACGGGTGTGTCGCCAAATCAGCGCAGACTGAAACATTACGGGACACCAACTGTAAGGCACCGTCTGCCATTTTAATTCAATTACCTCTGAGCGGTGGGGATGTCGTCGGCTTTAAAGATGTGAAACAGCGTATTTTTGTGATACAGCTTAAACTGCAGCTTCTGGGCCGGACCGTTCTTCTCCTCCCTCAGGAAAAAACCGAGCAAAGGCTGACTCTCCAACGCTGCAACGTCCTAAAAAGGGAGAAATAATTACTCAAGCAAAAAGGTAAAAAAATGAAAAGCCACACATAGTTCAGGAGAGCAACAAAAGCACACAGTGTGCGTACCTCGCTGGCAGCGTATGTGTACAGGACTTTGTTCTTAATGACAAACCACAGCCTCTTCCACTGCTTCTTGTAGCCTTTTGACCTGTTTAAGTAGCCGCTCATGGAGGAGTTCTCAGTGTTGGCGGACACCTGGAAAAACAGCATGAACAAAATAAAACACTTCGCAAACTTGATACATAAATAATGCAAAATAAATTACACGAATATAGTGTTAATTTATGTTCCTTGCCTCTTTTAGTGCAGCAGGAATCTTCTTCTGTTTCCTAGAGAAGGAGAAAGCTCCAGATTTGATCGGAGAAACTGATGTTGAAGCACAGCGGTCACCTAAAAAATGGGGGGAATAACGTCAATATAATAGATCAAAACCATATATTTTTACCACGATAAATAATCTATATTATCTTAAAGGACCAGTCTGATTATATTCTGTATTTTTGTTGTTGTCAATCTGTCAACAAATCCCATGAAAGATCAAAACCAACAATGCGTTTTTAAATCGTTAAAAACAGCTCACAGATAAATATTCATCTTTAAAAAGGCTTAATCATTTCCCAAAACAGATGGCCACTGTAGCTTTTATCTAACGTTACTCAAACAGGAGCAAATATTGCATTTTTTAGGGACTATTTTCAGCGGCGGATCAATCCATATTTATTGCTCTGGTGAGTATTTGTGGCAGCAGGACGGTGTATGTGTCCACGTTTACTTACTATTCTCCTGCAGTTTGGCAAAGCAGTGATCACACACTCGTGCCGGCTGGTTCTTCAAGTACTCCAGGTAGTACTTATTGGCAGAGCACGCCTGACACACCACCTGTCAGACACACGTGTAACTGCGATGAGAAGGGGGTTCATTCAACAATGTTTTGTAAGAGCAGCAGTAGTCGTAGTGGTACAGACCCTTCCACAGGCGCGACAGTGATGCCTCCTCCAGGTGAGGGTGAACTCACAGGTGCAGATCATGCACATGGTGGCCCTCAGGTCTGGGATCCAGATGGGAGCCTTTGAACCCAACGGGGCCCCGGTGTCGACAACGCCCTCCGCCTGGGTCGAGAGAGATTGGGGGTTAACATGGACACATTCAGGGAGAATTTATAACATGAACAAACACACAGAAGTTTAGTTTCACCTCCTCCTGACTTCGACTTGATATGAAGGTTATTTTCTTCTTCGTGTAGTCGTCTATGGCCTTGGCGATGGCCTCCAGCCACTCGTCTCTCTCTGTAGCTGAGCTGCAAGATACACCAGAACTCTCAGCAACAGTGAACAGAACAATCAATTCAATGTATAGATGTTTACAGCTCATTGTACGATATATTTCATGTAACTGTCAGATGTTAAGACTGACCTGGCAGACAGGATGAAAGAGCGCTCAACGCTCTCAATGTTCAGCTCGTTCTGATAGGCCTCCTGGCTCGGTTTACTCACCTGGAAGACACACCAGAAATCCATAAATAACAGATAACCACCAGGGATTGTGCACCATTTCAGATGAGCAACGTTCAAACTGTTGCTGCAAACTCAGCCTCATGTGTTTCAGTATACATGAAGAAAACAGTAAGAGGTGAAGCTCTAAAAGTAAAGAGGACCATCACAGCGTGTCTCTAACCTTCATCCCAGCTAGAGAGAGGACACTGTTGAGTTTATACTGGCCAGACTGGACCGGAGTGGTGTACATGAGAGCATCGTTGAACTGAGGGAAGCACAGACACAAGAAAACTTCAGAAACACACACAGATAATATAAAACTATATATATATATATATTTTTTTTTTTTTTAAGGCAGAACAACAGCATAACGTAAACTGGATTTAATTGTCGCTCACCAGAAAGAACATGCGAGGCTGCATGACTTTCCTGGACAGCTTCATTAGAGTGCCCTCCTTCAGAAACACCTGAAAATAAATGGGCTGCATTTAGAAAACACCTGCAGTCTGTGGAGCCCAGTGGCTAAACAACGACTTCTTAAGACTCAATCGATACGCGAAACAGAAGCACAGAGCAGCGTGATGTGATGGTGGGGTGATATCATCAGTCATACAGACTTAAACCACACATGAGTGTATTCTGATTCACAGAGAACCTGCAACATTAATAATGACGCTGCAAAAAATGATTAGCAAGAAACTGAAAGACGATTAAAACGAGGAGGGATCAAATTTAACGTCTTCTGATTTGTGGAGCACTGCTGTGGAGCAGTCATATTTGTTAAATATAGGCAAACTGGTATTTGTAAGTCTTCTGAGAGAATTTACACCTGTGTGAAAATTCTCCCCGCATGACAAACCGAACTGCAATCTGAACTTTGGTTTGTGAAAGAAGTTAGCAAACCCTTTTGAGACTTACCCGGCCTGGCTGAACGATCTCATGGTGACCGTTGAGACTGTACTGAATCTGCATCAGCTTCTGAAAGTTATCCTGTGAAACAGCATCAGAGGTGTGAGGAGAAGCACGAGGCTGAAGTAGACGTGAAGCTGTGTGTGGAATAAGGTCTCACCCCTTGTTTCATGATATCATTGGCGTGGTTGGCCACTTCTTTCACTATGCTGAGGGCCGCTGCATGGAGAGCAAAGATAAAACATCAGCTTTTAGCAAATGATGGTCCTGGTGGACACTGCGGGGGAGTTTAGTTCTTTATCTGACCTTGTGTGTCTTTATAGTCCTCTGAGTCTTCTGGAAGGTTCTTCAGATAATCTGAAAAAGAAGTTTCCATTTATTTTGAAACTAGCAACAAAGGCAAAAGGAGAGTCTGTCTGCCCGCGGCAATTTGCAAGATCCAACAAGTTATTTTATTACGTTTAAAATAACACCCGTATCACTTTGATAAGTATGTGTTTGAGAAAACACCTCATGTCCTAAAAAAAGCAAATAAAGTACATGCAATACATGTTTTGTAATACATTTTTTAAATGTGTACATTGTGCAGAATATGCTCGAGAAGAAACAGATCAATATCTGCTCTAGATTTAGATAAAAACAGATATTACAAACTTTCCTTTTCTCCTTCTCTGATGATATAAAATGTGAAATTCCTTATTTTCAGTGTGCAGTCAGCTTCCAATTTGCCTTGAAATTGTTTTGAATATTTGAAATCTGCTCTGCAGAATTGATCCCTTGCGTTAAAGCTTCTCAGGTGTTTATTACTGTTACTGTCCACTGGGTGCCAGTACGGTACCAAAACAAAGAAGGTTCATTCAGGTGCTGTCAATAAAGGAGCGCCATCACTCAGGAAACCCTTTGACCGTCAGTGAACAGTGAGTGTGTGTTTGTACCTGTGAGCAGCAGCTGGTACTGAGGGATCCTCTGCACTGGTTTCAGCAGGTAGTGTTTTAGAGCCAGACTGGCACATCTGGGACTCATCTGGGACAAAACAAACACGGAGCCGTCCAGTTTACTGTGAGAGATACGCGTCGTGTTTTCATGGCTGCTTCTGACAGCAGCACTTCTGGACTGAAGCTGAGCTGTATCACTTCATCTTTAAATGTTAGTTACAGTGAAGCAGTGAAGTGTTATATCAATAAGAAAAACATTACAACGTTCTCTGTAATAATTCCCAATAAAAGCAAATACCAAAACTGTATTTCCAGCTTTACCTCAAACTCTCTGACAACAGAGGCGAACGCTGCGTTTTTCCTGCACTGCTCGTCCAACAGAGCAACGTTGTTGTCAAACTGGCGGATGTAGGTGGAGTACATCTTCAGGTAAGGACCCTTCTGGACGAAGATGTCCGACAGTCTCTGGTGATCGCTCCTGTAACCAGACACACACAAACAGTTCCCTTCAGTCAGTGAACCGAGTCATTCAGTATAAAAGTAGTCGATGAAAAGGAAATCCAGCTGTTGTGTTCATTTATTTCATACTATTTAACACATCATAAGTCACTGAATCAGTAGCAACATCCCCCAGTGCATTATGGGAGCTGTTGTTCTTCTCCATGTGTGTTGGTTGTGTGTTTACCAGTGTGCCACTCGCTCCTCCAGCTCCCTCAGCAGGTCTCTGTTGAGCTGGTAGAGTTGTGGAAGGTAGTACAGGATCTGACTGAGGATCCGCTCCTCCACCACCGGCTTCCCATTCTGACGGGTAGCCTTTGCAACAGCATCTCGAAAGTCCTGCAGAGACACAGAGGGTGGATTCTGCATCATTATCACACACACACACACACACACACACACACACACACACACACACACACAGCTGTACAGGGTGGGTGACACGTGACAACATACTGTATTGCTGAACAGGAACACCTAGTTATCACCTCACGAAACTGCTGAAAATGATTTAATAATGCACAATTTTTTATCTAATCACCAACTCCACAGAATGTCTTGCTGATGTCATGCTGAACTTTTTGATATCAACATAACCAAAACACAAGACAAGCTAAGAAGTACAAATAGAAATAAAAATAAAAAACCTCAGCGAAGTAAAATATTATTACAGTTTCTTTTCTTGCATATGGACTCTTTGACACAAAGAACTGACAAACCACAAACCATTGAAGGCAGGTGCTGTTAGAAGACACTTCAGGGAGCGACATTTGCTTATGTTTTAAACTGACAAACCGCCGTCTAAATATTCACAAAACGGACATGAACGTTGGCAATAAATTACCTAAAAATGTCACCAACCCACGCACCCACCTGCACACACACTCAACACAACACACTGCACACGCACACAGGATTATCTAAGGTATGTGTGTCTGGAGGTCGTCTCTGTGGCCTGAGGAAGCAGCTGCTGTGCGGCCAGGCCGTCCGCAGAGAGAGGAGAATGCGATCTGACCTCTTTTCTTGGACGCCTCGCCCCCCCCAGCCATCCACGGGGCGACGTTTTCTACTAATCCCGCTCCAAAGCCACATCTGAGGCGGCCAAACAGGTGGACCCTCGACCCCTCTCAACCGGGATTCAGACCTACTACAGAGTCCGTCTTTGAGATATACATAAACACACGCTTCCCCGTCAAACGTTACCAACAAAACCTAAACAAAAGACATTCAAATGTGCTCTAATACATGAATAGTACTGACATTAGATGTCCGTGTGTACAGTAAAACATTCTCCATTCACTTCCCCTAAAAAGCTGACCTCATCTAGTCACATGGTTCCTGTTAGCCGTCATTCAAAACACAGGAACATGCAGCATTTGGCTTAATTTATCTTTCAGCAAAGCAAACACTGCAGACTCAAGGAACCCTGACAAGTCTGTTTTTAAATATATAATCTATCACTGCCAACTAAATCTACAAATTATCTCTTTTCAGTGCAGTAAAAGTCCCTTCTGAAATACTGTACTGTAGAGATAATCATTTTGTTACATTATACACGGGGAACTCACAAATAACCTCATGACACAGGATTAAAGTGTCCTTTTAAATACTTTACTTACTGTATATACTTAACTTATTTGCAATACTCAAGATCTCCGTTTTGATCTGTTTGCCGGCCATAGGCCGTAATTTTGGCTCTCACTTCCCTAACTTTGCACCGGGAATGATGGATATAAGGATGCATCAGTGGGCCACAGGTTCAATCACCATTGTGTTGCCTCATTTAGCGACAGTGACTCAAGAGACAGCTAGAACTTATCTAATATGAAATAAACTCTTTGGCGTTTGAACTCACCAAACAAACATCAACCGAGCCAAACAAAGCCTGTGACTCACTTATAGCATCTTTTTCTTGCACAATAACACACTCATACGACAGTGTTTCCCCGTGAAGAGACGGATCAAAGCGCCGCCTCCCTACTTGTGGCCGTGCGTTTACCTGCCCACTGCCGCCCACGGGGGAAACCACAACCCTCCAACGCTGCAACTTTAAAAAGCCTCAGCTGTGAAATAACGGCGTTATTCAACTCTGAGCGGGCCCTTAAGCAAACACAACACCGGCCAAGACCTCATTAATTCATATTCATCCCAGGGAAGAAGCTTTGAACACCATTCAAAACAATCACAGCGTTGGCGAGGGTAACAAAAACACTGAGATTTATTATGTTGGGCACTCTTCTTCCCTGTTCCTTTAATGCAACTCTTGGATAAATAAGACACTTACTATGTGAAGCAGCTTCAGGACATCCACGAATCTGAAACATGAGCAGAAATACATCCGTTAGACGACACACATATGGACGTTTTTAAGTGTTCACTCCAAAAGCACTCACACTTTCTCGGAGCTCATAATCTCCTGGGCGATGTGCACCACCTTCTTCCTCTTCATCTCATCCTCCTGCTGAAAGAGCACAAACACAAACAGTTCAGCAACACCACAGACACGCCACCGGTGACTGACCTCGACACAAACACACCGCTGCAAACTCACAGGCTCGCTGCAAACCACCATGATCACTGGGATCCCGTTTCACTCTGCAAAACCATCAGGATTGAGTTTACAGCCTACAAAACAACCCGAAAGTAGAGCGCCAACCCTCCTCCCTCTCTCCCCTCTCCCTGTGTCTTTCTGATGGTGTGTGTTGTTGAATGGTAATGGGGCGGTCTTTCAATGACTTAATTTGGACTGTGGCCTTGGCCTTGGCCCCCCCCCCCCCCCCCCCAGCTTGACTGAAATGTCCCACTGGTCCTATCGGAGCCTGTGTTTGTGATACCCTGACAGTATCACGGAGAGCGTTACACAGGAGAAAGAAAGAAAAAAAGAAACAGCTCATTGAGAGAGCTATTCCTGAACCTGTAGCCCTTCTGTGTTTGCTCACCATCCCCCCTTTCAACACACACACACACACACACACACACACACACACACACAGACCTTTGGAGAGCTGTGACGAACACACTTGGCAGCAAACGTGCACACAATCTCCAGTGGCTGCTGCGACAGTTCAGCTGTGACATGAGACACTCTGCCAGTTTTACATGATGTCATTTTTCCGTCCAAGTTTCTCTTTTTTTTTGTTTTTTATCATTTCTGAATAAATTTATAGTCGCTGCTGTGTAATGACTGATTACCTGTCGGTCTGCCACATCCAGGTGCTCCTTGCTCGAGGTGGAACTGTTGTCCTCTTCATCTGAACTGTGGATCTCCTCCTCCTCAGAGTGGACGTCCTGCCCCAGCCAGCCACTGCACACAGCAGACATTCAACACAACAAACGGAGATTAAATGACACACGAAGCAGAATTAAGTTTTCGGGATGAAGGGAAGGTCTGCGGACAAGAGTGAGTTGAGAAAAACACGCCCTGGGTAAATAAAAATTAAAGTTGTGTGCAAGAGGGGGACCTGATGATGAATTGGACTTAATCATTACTCACAAGAAGCACATGAGTCATTACAAGAGTGTGAAACTCATTAAGAGGTCTGGTACAATAGAAATCTATAACGATTAGAATAAAACCGCTTGTGTGAGATAAAACACAGAAAAGAAGGGCTTTAATACAGCAAGAAAAGCCTGTTATTTCGAATTCTTTGGCTCTGATAATCATGTGATATTGTGACCTAATTGTCTTATTGATGTCAGCCATACTGCCCGGTCCGTGTTAATATTGTTGTGTTTTAGGTGGGTCTATATCCATCATGTTTTTCTTTAAAGAGACCTTTATAAACCCTGCTGCTGGCTCCGCTCTACCCACAAGGCAAACAAGCACCAACATGTGTTTGTGTGTCACTAAATGTTTGGCTCTTTTTCTGTACAATTAAGCCGTCAGATTTGAAAGAAGGGTGAGTTAATGTGTTTTGATTTCGCCTCCATTGGCCCTGTCCTGCCGTCTCTCTTTCCTACACAACTCTCTGTAAAGAGGCTCGGCAAAAAAAGGGTGATGGCTCGGAATAAAAATCAGAAAAGGAAAGACTGGGACTCCAAACATTCTCACATTTCCTTTCACGCTCATCAGCAGTAGCCCGCTCTCTCCACTTCCTTGTTTTTCTTACGTGCCTCCGGACAGTTTCTTTTACCTAAATAGTAATACACACTCACTCTTCCTCTCTTATGCTTCCTCTATAGTGGAGCATTCCAACACACTGGATCCGGCACAGAGCGCCACTTGTTTACAGCCTGAGGCTACTTACATGAACTCAACGGGCTCAGATGCCTGGGAAACACTACACATTCACTCACTTCTCCCCTCGAGCACAGAAACACCCCGATAACTACTCGGATGCAAATCACACAGAATAAAGAAACAAGGTTCATCTCAGCTTGATGCCTCAGCGTGACTTAACGTGGCCTCGACTTCATCACTTGTAGCGCCATCGTCTGACAGAGGGAACAGGAAGCATAGCACTTATCATGGGAACGGCTTCTCATTACAATTTGTTGGCGGTGTCCCTTTTCACTTATTTGGACGATCGAATATTTGTTTGTCATTAACAGAGCAAAAGGCCAAAATTCTAAAGTTTTAGCTTCTTAAAGCAGCACCAATCAATGTTTTATATTTAAATGATTGTATTATTATAATTGTTATGTGAGCGGGTTAGTTGTAGCGACAACCTTTCAGAGAAGTATCACTCAAACTTACATCACTCTACAGAGTGTTTTAGCATCTTTCAGCTTTGTTTTGGTTTTAAAGAAGCCACTGTGCACTACCTGCCCAGCACTAACCGGTGAACAGAGAAAGTTAGCAACGAGCAAATGGACAAAGTGGAGCATTTAACAGATAAAGAGATATTTCCTGAAGGAGTTGGTGGAGACCACAAACAGAGCTAAAAGTAGAGTGAATATGGGACTCAAATTCACCAGATGGCCAGAGACGTGACTCCAAAAAAAGATCGTATTTGTTAATTTACTGGGATGAGAACAGAGCTCACTTCAGAGACACAGGAGGAGAAGAATGGAGTGATGAGGTTAGGAAGAGGCTAAACGCAGTGCGAGGGCGTGCAGGCCGAGGAGGAGGAGGAGGCCGGTGGTTGCTGGAGGTTTATTTTCCCTGTTCCAGAGAGCTGTGTGGCGTTTCTGCGATTCTCAGACATTTCCTGCCCTGGCCACCGAAAATAACCCACAGGAAGACAGGCCGACCTGTTGCACATCAATGCTCCATTCAAATCCAATGCCCCTGTTTCAAAGGTCAACTTTCACACACTTGAAAACACAAACCACGAATGTCACCTGTGCATCTAGTCGCACACGGCGGCTCCCACACTGAAGCTACCTGTCAAAATTACAGAGTGGCTGCAAGTGTTGTAGAGCGGCTCTGAACCTCACACACACACACACACACACTGTGTCTGTGTCTCTCTCCCTCTCTCTCTCTCTCTCTCTCTCTCTCTCTCTCACACACACACAACGTTCCAGGTATGAATCGACCACCTATCGCTTCCTTAAACTCATCTCTCTACTGCAATAGATTTTTAAATAATAATCATTAGTTGGACCCTTTACAAACTACTACTGTACCTCTCGTACTCATGCTCGTGGCACCTGTGATAGGGATCCTGCACTTCATAGATGTCTGAATCTGCTCCGTCGGGGTCATGTGACCAGCCCGGCCTCGCACTGTGAAACGGCAGGTTCATGTACTCTGGGATCTCCTCGTACAGGGGAACGTTCTCATACTCCACCGATTCCTCTACGTATTCTCCACGAACATCAGCCTCCACTATGCAGCTACTGGGCCGCTCCAGGCTTTTCCCCCCCGGGCTTGAGTCCACGCTGGTACAGTCCAGGGTCTGCCCTCCTTTGGCCAGCAGCTTTGGCAGCATCTTGACAGACAGCCGGAGCTCCAGCAGCTTCCTGAAAGAGAGGCTCCTCTTTTGGGAGTCGGCCCGGGTGGCCAGGTCGGCTGCAGAGAAGGACTGCGCCCTCTGCTTGACCCCCAGCGCCGGAGCTCGGCTCTTTGGCGGCACGCTGCTCCTGGTGGGCATCTGCCGGCTGAAGAAGGTCACGCAGGGCCGCGTGAACCGCCAGGCTGTTTTCTCCTGAGGGGGCGGGGGCAGCTCCCTCATCGGGGTGTTCGCATGTGGAGGTGCAGGAGGGCAGATGGAGGGCGGAGGGGGCGTCGGCAGGCTGTGTCTCTGAGGTTTTCTCGGTGGCGCCCTCGGTGACCGCTGATCCTCGGCAGAGAAGGCCTTCCTCGCGTTCGCCAGAAGAGGATGACAGCCGAGTTTGATCTGTTTGGGGAGGCTGTGAGTTATCGGGTAGCGCTCAAAGTCGCCGTACCCGTCCTCTTCATCCTCGTCCACGCGGTGCTCCACTCCCCCTTTTTTGTGGCTGTTGGAGTCCGCGTGCGAGAGCAAGACTAAGGAGTGGGAGGTGTTTTTGTTTAGAGAGGGGGGCATGCGGGCTAGTCTTTGAAGGCGAGGGGAGAGGGAGGTCTGCCGAAGAGGGGGGACCGGTGCGCTGGTCTCGTCATCTCCCAAACCTGAGTCTTTTTGGGGTAAAAGGTCATTACATGTGTCCCGTTTGAGCTCCTCGCCGTCCGAACCGAGAGACAGACCAGCTAGACTCAGTATCCCCTCATCCTCTCCCATCTCAAGCTCCTGTCTCTGTTCCTCCTCCACCTGATCCTGGGCACTGCCCTCCACGCCATCCTGCCTCACCAGGGCTGGCTTTTTAGGTTTGCGTGGGTGAGGGACTGGGAGAGGTTTGCTGGGGGCAGCGGGGACCTGCAGATCAGGGTGTAACCTGGTAGGAGATGCTTCGCTGCATTCTACCTGAAAGGACTGTGCAGACGATTCATGAGGAGGGACACCTGGGGAGACAATGATGCTGCCTGCAACATCACAGGTAGAGTCTGTGAAATCTGTGTTTTGGGCCTCAGTCTGTCCATTCGCTTTTGAAACATCAGGCTCAGCGACAGCACTTTCCTGATGTTTGACAGTCTCTGGAGCGTTCTGCTCCTCGGTCCTCTGTGTCTCTTTGTTGACCAATCCCCGATCCAGGTGTCTCTGTCTTTGAGGTTTGTCCCTGGGCTTCTTGCTAATCCCTCCACCTTCCCCCTTCTCTACAGCAACTCCCTCCTCTTGGTTTTCTGCTCTCTCGTGTGGCCTCGTCCCTGTGAATCCTTCTGTAGAAATCCCATTCTGCAACGGTTCCTTGTGCAAATCGCTGCCAATCTCAGTTGCATGTCCGTTTTCCAGACGCTGGCACTGGGAACAATCCTGGAGCCCACAGGAGCAGGTGGGAATTATGTAATCCGAGTTACGCTTGTTTGTCTCTGATAAAATCCCATTTTTGGAGTTAAGAAGTAAGAGGCTATCGCCTAAAGCTTCCTGCCGTTCCTGAGTTAGGATAAAGGGTTCACTGGGTTTGGGTGGCGGAGGTGTAACGGGGGGAGACGAGGCCGTGGATTTGGGAATGCAGGGTTTGGGGGCAACAGCCGGTTTAGTCCTCTTGAGAGTAGCAGTGGAGGGTTGGGAGATGACTGTAGACTGGGAGAGAAGACCTGGTTTAGGGGCGATGGGTGGGGGAGAGGGTTTGGTGGTGGCAGGGAGTTTAGGTTTGGGAGCTAATGGAGGCTTCTTCACACCTGCATGTAAAGAAGAGGGAGGATATTTACAGAGAAGTCAAACAACAATGTACTCACACTTCCTTTTAAATGCATCATGCAACACCGTCACATCACATGAAAGCATGCTCCATCCACACCTCCTCTAGTAAACGCACAGACAGCTGCAAACTCAAAGCTCGGGTCAAAAGGTCTCCAGAAGGTTCAGAACGACGGAAGGTTGGAATAATGTGTGAAATGAGGATTTATATAAGTAATGCAACTTTTACCACATCTGCTCAACCGTTTTGTAAAGTAATAATCTGATGAACGAGCAGCAAACACAAAGTAAATCTGGATTATTTCATTCAGATGCACAATGTATTGTTGTCAGATTGTAGTTAAACATAAGTATGTTGTATTGTATGTATTACAACTAGTACAATATTTACTGTAAGTACATTCTGATACTTTACTAATGTTTAAAGTAGATGATACACAGACAATGACTGATTCATTTGGTTAAATAAAGTTTAAATTGAAAAAAAACAGAGTCTCTACAATTAATAACAAGCTGTGAATTGACATTGTAGGCGATATTTTCCGCTCTCCTGGCTGAAACGTTTGGCTGTCCGACAACACGAGAAGTGGAGTCATCGAGCGGATGTTTCCGAAAAGGCCAACGACCAGAAACCGCTGTGACTCCCAGACATGCTGCTCTGCCTCTGCAGATAGAGCTCCAAACTCTGCTCAAACAGTATAAAGTCTTAAACACCAAAAACACCCACGTTATTGAACAGTTATTAACATGTTTACCAATCACTGACAGACACTTTTCAATTTGGCATACACCTTCTGTTTTGGTTCACCAAAAAAATGATTTTAAACTTCACCACGGATGGCGGAGACGACCAAGGGGAATCAAACCTAAAACGTGACTCAAATATCAAATTCTCTTTATATATTGGCCGAATTTGCCAGTGTATGCTAACGATGCCATGCAAGTTCATTAACTACATCTTCGGATATATAATGCAACTTAAAAACCGACTTAACAACCAACTACAACATTTTAGAGCGGAGTCTGGCCTCGCTATAAAAGTAACGCCAGATATATGGACGCGGAAACACAAACAACAATAACTCTTTTGCACATATCCCATTTCTCTAAGGATACACCTCTTCATCCAGGTAAACGTTACCTGTTTTATATCAGAAGCTAACACTGCAGCTTATAATCGAGTCTTGTTGCATCAACAGCAGGACAGATGTTTTAAGACAAAGGATTTAACCCCCTCCAGCTGGGACAGTAGCTTTAATATCAAACGTGAAAGGGACATTTTACATTGTGAGTTATGATGGAAGTTTTTTAGAAAGCACTCTAAATTGCAATCGAGCATGTGTCCTTCTTTTATATATTTTTGAAAGGTGTTATTAAGAAAAAACTACGCGTAATTACGCGTGGCTGCGTACAAAGAGGGTTGACGCTTATCGTCCGTTATAACGCATAGTTTTTTAATACAATTACACTTTAAGTATTTAGATTTTGCACAGCTAACTTTAAGTTAAACAAGAAAACAAACCTGTGCTCATGACTCCCGACTGGCTCCCTTCTCCATGAGTAAATTTACTTTCAATGGAATTGCGAGAAAATCTCCGTTTTCTCCTCATTCGACACCATAGTCAGTTTGAAACCCGCTCCAGGGAGAAAACAAGCAAATCCATCGCTGTCGCTCCTTATCTTGCCAGCGGATGCTCGGATAAAGTCTTTACGCGTGTTACTTTTCCCATTTTTCCCCAAAAAGTTTTCAGCCACGGTGCTTTTCCCAACAGTATCAAGTAGGACGCAACAAAACAATCAAATTCCGTTTATGCATTTCAAAACAAAAATAATTGTTGAAGAATTTCTGGTGCGGTTGTTGTAATCTGATGTAAAGCACGGAGTTAAGCATAAATATAGGTTCAGTTGTATGTTTTAAGTAAATATAAATGTAATTCAGATCGATTCCGTGATTCATATTTACAACAAACTGTTTAAAATAAATTCTAGTTATTTATTTTGAAGGGAACTTCCGGTTTCACACTGGCTGATTCTTGATAACTTTACACTCGATTTTTCCTAACGGTTGCTCCACTGTCCCTCGCGCCCACTTGGGGCGCTCTAACATTCATTCGTATGAGTTGCTCACGAGCAAACGACGAGCATTATGGGTATTGTAGTTTTAAGCGAAGTTTTCGCAAACCGGCTAACAACCAACTTCTCCAACGGCTGTTCCTGACTACTGTCGCCTACAACTTCAGAATGCAAACGCGGCTGTGTGTATAAATGGCGGTGAGCAATGACTGAGGAGTTTGACGAAGATGTGGTATTTGAGGTTTGTATTACAGCCGCTGTTTTTTTTATTTTTAATCGAAACTTATGGATGCTTTGTCATACCTAGACGTTCCCGAGTCATTAAGGGCAGCTAGCTTATACACAGATAGCTTACCGTGCTAGCAGCCATGCAGTGGCAGCCCAAAACAAATCCACATATTTATGCTGCTAACTGTGTTTCTGCCAAAAGGAGCTTTGTTGGTCACGAGAGGGAGCTGAGCTGTGCGCGCGCATTGTTGTGTGTTTCATCCTTATTATTAGACTGGTAGTTTCAGAGGTGGGGTGTGGAGGACCAGGTCCAATGCGACACACACACTCACACACACTCTATGTCTGACTGGTGACAACATCAGCTGCCACTTCGTGTGACAACATGCATGTGAGTAGCATTTAATTGTTTGATTGCCATCTAGGCATATAGTGTTATTATGATGGGTTAATTACATTAAACTGAGATGCACCAAATGCATGTTTTTTTATTTATTTCATGGCTGAGTCTGAGCTGTCTTTGTTCAGCATAAGAAACAGTGTTTATCCCTCTATGAGTAGGTTATTACATGAGGTCTTGTGCATGCATGTAGTCCAGTCTCCATGGTGCACGGAGAGGCTGAAAAAGACATTCCTGGCATCTGTACGAGTGATTTACAGATTCACATGTGAAGGCACTTAATAGCATTCTTCCCAGAGCAGAAAAGTAGTTTGCATGGAGGAAAGAAGTGAGAGAAAGGTAGAGAAAGAGGTAGTTGGAGAACCACACCAGTGAGGGCCTACGATAGACCGGTCGACAGTGTCGAAGGCTTTAGCTAAATCAATACGAAATGCTGGCAGGACAGGAAGGAGACAGCCAAGAAAGTGCTCCTCTAGACTGATGACCTAATCACCAAATTCTCTCCACAGGTCCTTCCATCTGGCAGTCTTGCTTCTCATCCGTCATTCCTCAACTACTGCATTCACCTGTCTTTCTTTCTCTCTGCAGAACTCTCCTCTTTTCCAGTACCTGCATGATCTAGGGCACACAGACTTTGAGGCATGTCCAACGGCATCACAGGAGGACGACTATGGCGGACAAGAGGGAGACCTCACCTCTCCCGACGAAGATCCAGGGAAGACTTCAGTGAGTGACTTTTTATAGACCACAATTCAAACAACTCCCCTGACCCGGGGCAGTGTGTGTGTTTGATTTGCGCAGTCAGACGGAAAGTAATTAATTTAACTATTGACTCCAAACAGCAACACAGTTTGGAGTTGAGTCGACCTGTGATTCACACAGACGAGTAGTGTGTCCGGGGAAGCTCGGGATCACATGACGGGAAGCAGTTTTGTTTGTTTTGTGCAGGAACTTTCCGTACGTGTCATGCTTCCTCTCTAGTACGCTGTTGTTCTAGGGAGTTCAGGAGGATGAGGGATTCGTGATGAGACAGGAAAGCGTTTGGGTCGTCCCTGTGTGACCGGCTTCCTGGAGCTCAGATAAAGTCAGAGCCGATGCAAAACACCGTGTCGATGTTGACAGACCACAGCTTGTCTTTCTTTACAATGGCAGTAAATGGTCTCCTAATCTTTGTACAGTATAGCTTTATGGGCTGCAGCTAATTATTATTTTAACTTTTGATTTATCAGTTACTTGTATAGTCTGTAAAATGTGACAAAACGGGCAAGAGACCAATACAAAAGATATTGCGTTCACGATGATATAAAAGAGAAAATCAGCAAATTCTCACATTTGAGAAGCTGGAACTAAAAGCATTGTTTTTCGTGGTGTAGGTAAAACCACAACTTGCTGTTTTCACTGTTAGACCTGCTGTCATATACAGCCGTCTGTGCTGAGTGTGTCCGTTCTCTCACTCGGTAGCGATCAGTCCAGTGTGTCTGGAGGCTGGAGTGTCGTCTGCGTGACACCGGGAGAATACTGATGAGCAGGAACAGCCGGTAGCAGGATGTGCTACGGTAGTGAGAGGACGGGCATCTGTGAGTTAATCCCAACGTGGTTTACATCATCTCTGCGGAACCACCGGGGGAGATTAGCCGCTTTGATGCTACGGAGAAGACGGAACAGGGGCTGTGGCCTACTTCAGGCTGACGACCAGACATGAAACTCAATCTCAAATCAGTAATCAATTCTACTGCAGACGAGTGACGCTTGTGCTTTACCCCCCAGAGAAGGGGTCAGCTCGCGGGCTGTCCGGTCTGAATCATTAACCCCTGCAGCACCACGCACGTCACGGGATGTTATGATGCTGGTTTACATCATTAACATTAACAGAAAAAAGTACAATAACATTATTAAAGCAAAGTATTTCACGGTCGCCACGAAACACTCTAAGCTGATTAGTGAATAAAAGATCCTAGTCATGATTAGGCATTACACAGTTTGGGATTTTATTTAGGCTCTTAAGCACTTGCAGGAAAAAATGTGCAACATTTTGAACAGCCTGAGGTTTGTTATGCATCCAAAATGTCAACACACTTTAAATTGTGAGGCGCCATGTAACTCTGGTTGTGAGTGGACGTCTCAGACTGTTTAGTCCACGGGGCAGAGACTCATAGAAAGCAAGAAATAAAACAGGTGTGTGTGTGTGTGTGTGTGTGTGTGTGTGTGTGTGTGTGTGTGTGGTCTCCAATGAAAGACGTACAAACTTGTCTCTTTTTCTGGAGCTTAATTAAAGAATCCTTCCTTTCCGTCTGTCAACCGTATATTTGAAAAGGATGAAAGCTTACGTTTTATTGATGCCAAAAATGTAAACATTCAGTCATAACGCCAAAATGAAAACTCAACAAACTGAAGTGGTTATGTGGTTTCTGTGCCACAACAGAGACCCGGGAGTGAGTGTTTTTACAAACACACATTGCACTTATTGTTGTCGCCTGAAAGAGTTTGTCTCCTGGGATACTCCCTTTGACCGTCGGAGTGCGTGCGTGTGTTTAAGTGCACACACTTGTTATTTACTGGTTGTGCTAGAAGATGCACACTAAAGTGACTGAAAGACTTCCAGGTGAATCATTTATGTATTTTCATCTGGAATGTGTTTCACTGATCCTCCGGGGTTGTACCAGGGCATAGCATAATAAAGAGCCCTGCATATCACTGGAACAGAGCTGTTACTTACTGATTTATAACCTTCCCCCTGTGTGTGACCTGCAGGGAGGACGCTTATGGAGACTGGCTGAAGCTTTGTGGAGATGGAGTCCGATTCACCAGGCGGCTGCGTCTCGTAAGATGGGCCAGCAGCTGGTAGGCAGAGTGGGAAACAGAAAGGAATGCTGGCACCAGCAACTTCACATTGTTTTATATTTTAAGGCATCCATTCTCTTCCATGTGTTTCTCTTTTCTTCCAGGACTGTGTGTTCGGCCAGTACTCGGTGAAGTGCATTCTGGACCAGGACGTGCTGTTGCAGGAGGACGTGGAGCTGATTGAGCTGTTAGACCCGAGTCTACTCACCCTCGGCTCGTCTGCTTCTGGCTCATCCACTCGAGCGAGCGTCCTGCCCAGACCCGGCCTCATAGCCAGGCCCTCCCTATGGTACGTTGTTAGGAAACAAGCACACAGATGTACAGGGGACGGGCAAAATACTTGGTTCGCCAAAGAATATAAAGCATTCCAATAAAACGCCAGCACAAACTGAAGCCATAGCCTCTAAAACAGTAGTAAAAGTAAAGATATAAAGTAAGGAATGTTCATTATTCATATTCATTACATTCTTGGTATTCTAGTGACACTACAAAGAAACTGTAACAGTACTTCCTGTGACTTGTGACCTGTAAATTGACTTTGACGTGTATAACTGATGGTTCTCGTCCCTGTATGGATCTAACCAGTTAACGGCCGCACTAAATCAGAATTCCTCCCTGTTGTCCATCACTCAGGGACCTGGCGGGGCTGGTGGGCCTGGCTGCAGTGCTGCTGGGTTTGTGCTCCGTGTCTGAGGGCCTGTGGTCGCTGGCCGCGGCCCCCTGGGGCCTGGTGCTGCTGGGCTGGCTGGGAATGAGGGGGGTCCTGCTGTGGAGGCGGGGCCGCATGCAGAGAGCCGTCCACTCGCGGGCCACGCAGCTACAGACTCTGGTCCACAACAGCAAGACTCTGACCGGGCTGTCTCGTAAAGCCCTGCGCCTGGTGCAGGAGACGGAGGTCATCTCCAGAGGGTTCACCCTGTAAGTGTGCTCGTCTTTACGTCTACATGTCACCCAATCACATCATGGTCATGTCTCCATCCTGCTCAGTTAATTTCTATTTCTAGCACCGTGTCAGTTACCTCCTGTAGGTGTTTTATTATTCATGGTAGCACTTGTTTTAAACCTCTTTTTGTCCGTGTGTGAGTTTAGCTTTGTCCATAAACCACACTAGCATTACACTTCAATCACTTAGTAAGTTAAGGGGGTAGTTTCGCTCTCTTGCCAGGAGTTAGATGAGCAGATCGATACCACTCATGTTTGTACAGTAAATATAAAGCCTGTAGCTGATTCGTTTAGCTTAGCATCAAGCCAGTAAACGGATAAACGGCGATCCTCGCTCTGTCCAAAGTCCTACCAGCACGGCCTTCTTACACCTCAGTTTTTAACTATTGAGCTTTAGAGGTGCTGCTAGATAGATGTTGACTGATTCCAGTCTTTGTGCTAAGCTAAGCTAACCAGCTGCAGCTTCATATTCACCACACAGACATGAGAGCTGTTGATCTTGTCCTGTAACTCCTGGTAAGAAAGAGATTAAGCGTGAACTATTCCTTTAATAGCATGTCGTATTGTCTTGTTTCCATTTATTCAGTTTGTTTGTTTTCGTCTCGTTTGTGTCGTCTTTAGTGATGTTGCGTTCAGTGTTTTGTGTGCCCCCCCCCCCCCCCCCCCCTGCCTCTTTGGGACGTCTCCACAGTTGTATCACATTTCACTTGTCAAGTTTGCTCGACAGGGTGAGTGCAGCCGGCTCCTTTAGCAGGGCGGGGCCGGGGGCGGTGCCACGCGGCCAGCAGCTGATCGGATTGAGGAAGGCCCTGTACCGGGCGCTCCGCACGGCCTTCAGAGCCTCGCGGAGAGCCACCTGTCACATGCTCAAGGCATATCCTTTACCTTGAGAGGAAGACTTCACATAGGAGTGTCCCGGACCTCTTTTGAAATAGGAAACAACTCACTATAAGTTAAGATGTATGTGAGTATTGTTATAATGGAAGAGTGATGTGTCCTTAACCCCTCTCAACGTTCCCTCTGAACTCTGAGATCGATAATGTGACCAACTATGTGTCCGCGGTGCCTCTGAAGGAGCTGGGGCTCGGCCTGGGGATCGAGCACCTGGGTGACGAGCAGGCTCAGGAGCTGACGGACGACTACAGCCTGCCTGCCCTGAAGGTAAGGCCGCTAGATAAGTTAACCAGCTGCTGGCGTTCGCCTCGAAAAGGGACGAAGACCTTCATCCACTTCTCCGCTGCAACAGCTGACAGCTAAAAAAAAAAGCCCCAAAACAAGAACAGGTTTCATGACGAAAGGCTTTAATGCGTAAATGTTTGTTGTTTTGTGCTCCTAAAGATGCTGTTCCAGCTGTGGGTGGGGCAAAGCTCCGAATGCTTCCGACGACTTGCTCTTCTCCTGTCACCCCGAAGAACAGAGGAGCCAGAAGTGGGCGGAGCCAGCGGGGACGCCTCCCCTCCTGCCGCCCTGCTGCACCGCTCCATCGCCGCCGTGACGGAGCCCCTCCATCGCGCTCTGGCCAGCTGCCTCTGCGAAGTGCAGCGCAGCTTCGACTTCCACCGACACTTTGAGACCCAGCTGAGGACGCCGGGCTCCGACGGGACGGGGAGAGTCAGGGAGAAATGCCGAGAGCTCAACACCCTGCACTCGTCCATCCGAAGCCTGCAGCTGCACCTCAAGGCCCTGCTCAGCGAGTGAGACACACACACACACACACACAATCCAGACTGCCCTCATTCTACACTTCCCATAATAGGAGATGAGACTTTAATGACCAGTGAGGGGAAACTGGGTCACTCCACCAGCAATAAACCTGGGAATATGGAAAAGAAACATATAAGTGGACATTAGATCATGAGGTCAAACATGAAAATATAATATATAATGTCAAAATGAGGGACATTTGTGCTTTTAATAATTGTCAGTGAAGCCATTGTTCCTCACTGATTTCCTTTATTAACGTCGGAGCACTCACAAAGAAGCTGATGGAGATTAAAAGAAACGGATTAGTTGGAGAAGGATTTGTAAATTCACCAACTGTGGAAACAGCACACAACGATATTAGTAAGATTACTCAGCATTCCATGTGTCCTGAATATAAAAGTGCCATTTACTTTATGCCTCGGCGTCAAAGTTTATTGTTATGAGCACACATTAAAGCCACAACAAGAAAGGGCAGTAGAGGTTTAAAGACCAGCAGGGACTCACAATTCTTACATTTGACCCCCGTTTCTGTCAGATTTCATGTTTAGGAAACTGATTAACATTTTCAAAGCCGAATGTAGCTTCAGTTTCTTTTGCCCTCTCCGATTCAGCGCGGCAACAGAGGATAATGTATTCATCCTCCTCTTCCGTCTCTGACATCGCTAGGATGATCATCCTGGAGGACGACCTGGAGAAACTGATGGTGTCCAAGGAACCCACGGAGTTGACACTCGAGGGCTACCAGGACCTCAGGGACCGGCTGCACCAGCTGCAGCCACACATGCAGGCCAGCTCGGGCTGCTGGGAGGACACCGTCGGCCAGGTGCAGCGCATGCTGAGACGGGTCAACGCCTGTCCAGGTGAGCTCAACACAAACAGACGGTGACACCCCCTTTAGTAGTATATTAGTTCCCATATTTACACAGGGCCTGTTTTTAGCACACTATTGACAGCCGTGGAGGAAGGAGCTCCTTCACATTGCGGGCAGTCAACACAGTGACCTCGCAATAACATCAGTCCACACCGTCTCTGCAGGTAATGCCGAGGGTCTGGAGCGGCGTGGTCCTCCGCCGCCCGAGATTCCTGCTCCTCCTCCGTCCTACCCGTTGATCCTGGACAGAGACTCTGTGCCAGAAGAGCTGGTAAGACGAACCATCCACCTGACAGCCCTGTGCTCCTTCACACCAAGACTCTCACCACAGTCAAGATTTCTGTCCCTAGTATGGCCTTCAAAGATGTGTCCTTTGACCAGGAGTGGGAGGCCTATGTGTCCGACTCGGACTCCGACGGCGAGAACAGAGGGTCTTGGTCCGACATCTTGTCACCGGAGGAACGGGAGCGGCAGCGGAGGGAGAGGGAGGAGTCCCGTCGCGTCCTGTCGGAGCTCAAAGCTGTGCTGGGCTTCCGTGCGTCAGAGGGGGAGAGGATGAAGAGGAAGCAGCTGCTCTTCAACGACCAAGGTCTGCACTGACCCGGGTCAACTCTCTCTCTGCTGTGATCATTCAAAGAGGAGCACATCCCAGTTTGGGCAACTTTGCTGACATTGTTTTTCATGTGTAGTCAAACTATACACACAATATATAATGTACTCTAAATGCAAAGCATTGAATAATATATTTCTTCGTTCTTGCAGCTGCTCCCTCGGCTCATGGTGAGAGTCCAGATACCGTCACGGAGCTGTTAGATGCTCCGACTTCTCTGGGATCAGCAGGAAGTGCCGATGAAGAAGGAACCCACTTTTCGGAGTGCTCTGCAGGAAACGAAGGGGAGGAAGGGGAAGGAGGAGGCGGCAGGGTGAGGCTTGACCCCTCAGCAGAGCCGGTGATGGAGTTCAGCTGTGGTTTGGAGGATTTGGGAGGAACTTCGGTGTGTGCAAGAGGAGGAGGAGGAGCGTCTGAGCTGCACCTATACGACGGCGTCCTGCAGGAGGAAGGGGAGGGCCAGAACGGTCTGGACTGCTGCCTGAAGCCCAAAGTCCCCGCCGTCTCTGTGATGGACAGGCTGACGGAGATCCACGGCTCGGAGGCTCTCAGCTTCAGCTCCGCCCTCGCTGCTCAAGTGGCGGCGCACTCACACTCGCTCATCACCATGGAGGAGCAGACGTTCGGTGATGACGAGGAGGAGGAGGAGGAGGATGGAGAGGAGAGCGACAGACGAACCGCCGAGAAGGACTGAAGTTGAACCCCGCTGCTTTAACCGACCGCTGAGCAGAGACTGTATTTATGTCTTATGTCTGGCTGTCTTTTATCGATGGGTCTGTGTTACATCTTAACTGTTTCTAGTGTGGAGGTATTTTCAAATTTACACCACTCTCTATTCCCCCGTCCGTCCATCCTACTGTACATTACTACCCACAGTTCTTACTGCTCGCTCGCTGTTAAAACTCAGGTACCAGAACCACTAAAGCAAAGAAGACCAGAATGTCTACAGTTCACTCGCTGACATCCACACAGTGAGTGTTGTTCTCAGTCGTTCAGCAGCTGTGGAAACAGGCGACAAGTGTAATAGGTTTCTTTGAGAATAAAATGGTTTTATTTGCAGTTTTCAAAACACTCCAATCTGAGTTATTGTCAGTTTTGGGCTGGAGGACTTGAGAAGTCGGGAGGAATAATGCTGAGATACAGCGGTAAGAGAGCATTTAAAAACGTTTCATCTCGAGACAACGAACAACAACTAAATGGAAGTTTCGGGGCTTTATGTAACGTACAGAGATGAGAGGACAGAGGCCACACCACAATGTAAAAGTTCTGCATTCAGAATTCAACTTAACCTAAATATTGCCAACAAAATGTAGTTGAAGTATTGAAAATATAATTACTCGTAAATCATAATTTCAGTAAGTATTTGTAAAAGAACAGGATTTCAGGAGCTCAAATTTGTACTTAAGAGCAGTAATTGAGTACATGTGCTGTCACACACACACACACACACAGTATGAGAGGGAGCTCTGCAAAAAGAGGAAGTAGAATGCTATTTTTACTATCGGGGTCTTTATTTTTGTCCGGCCCTTTCTGCGATTCCATCCCTCTACTTACTGTCTGACTGGACACAATGGGGGCCGGACGCATAGTGCACCGTACACAATATTACATAAACATACACAACCCTATTTGGAATGCAACACTATTGTATCTAAGAACTAATTCATGTAGACTGAAACGGCGTCTTTGTTTACAGGGGGATACTGTACGGACTGATCTGTGTGCTGCTGTGAGGGGTTGATTCTCTCTCGTGTGAGGGCAATCTATAACTTTATGTTTCATACGATGTTACTGTACGAGTCTATTCCCTCCCTCCTTCCTAGTCTGACTTGTCACCATGTCTGCCTTGTCCCGAGGTCTACCCCCTCCTGCATTCTCCAACGTGAAATAAAATACCCTTCTGGAAGAGTTTCGATGTATCCTGAAGTCTTTTCTGCCGCTCGTGTTTCAGAGGCTCTCACGGTCGGGGTAGAGGAACCGGTTTGATGAGTTACTTGATATGTTTTGTGTGTTTTTTTTGCACAATGGCTCCACTTTAAAGCCACCCCGGCCTTTGGAGACTTAGGCCCAATCTCCAGGCCGTCCCACTGTCAAATCAAAGAGTGTTTGAGTCTCTCGCAGACACTTTGAGCCCTTAGTGAACCCTTTCCATAAATCTGCATTTCTGCAGACTTTGCCCAAGGGAATTACCCAAAAGTAAAGTAAATAACAAAATATTATTTTGAGTAACCGGGTCATTGCTGTTGAGTCACACCAAACCAATTTAGATTGAAAAATAGCACGTAACCAAAACTATTATAGCTATGTCCCAATTCAGGGTCTGCATCCTTCGGAGGACCCAGCCTTCGCGGTCTACGTGGGCCGCGTCCTTTGAGGACCGCAAAGGCTAGACCGTGCGGTCTCCGAAATGAGACCGCACGGTCCCGCCCCGCCCCGCTCTTGCTGCTCCCGTCGCCTAAAATCCCTGCTCAACAGGATTGTATATATGTATATATGTGTGTGTATATATATAT